CACAATCTCACTACAGATACTACATACAATGTGACTGATACCCCTGGACGTTCGTTCGTAAGTCAAAAGGGAGGGTAGCCTCATTATGCACAGACCAGAAGTAAGCGCTGGAGGTAGGCATGGAAAAACAATGTAAGCAAGCGCATTAACCTCCTACCGTTGTCTGCAGAAGAGGGATCGTCGTTTTTCGACACGTGCAGTATTTTGAATTAATATTATTCATTAACATAACTGGGACTGCCCACAAAATTGCAAGGAAGTTATGTTCATATACAATTTTAATTTTCAAAATATTATTGCCTAGTTAATAAATTTGGAGTGTGAAATATAAAAGTTATATAGATTCTAGATCTATATGATGTTTGTTTTCATCAAATGGTATCATATACAATTTTAATTTTTAAAACATTATTGCTTAGTAAATACATTTGGAGTGTGAAATAGAAAAGTTATATAGATCTATATGATGTTTGTTTTCATCAAATGGTATCATAGTCTTAAATCGAATCATAATAAATATATTTTTGAATATCGCTTTTGTTATCAACTTCACCCAAATATCTTGTAAAATGCTTCAAAATGGTTCCCGATATCGTAATCTACAGTGTTGATGACAGTAGTTGCCTTCGGAAACCTTGTTGTGTGGCAGTTGTGCCTACCAAAAGTGTGTGCCTGTGTGCCTGATTGCTGATTGCTATTTAAAAAATCCCAAACGTTTTGGGGTTCCCCAAGGAGGTTATAAAAGGTCCTTGGGGTTCCTGGGCCAAAAACAGAAAAAAAAACAGAGTTATCGGACTTAGGCTAGGCCTACCACTTTACTTTGTTGTTTACTAGGCCTAGGGCCTATGCCCTATCCAAGATTCTCGTTCCAGTTGTTTGTTGGTTGTTTCTTGGACCAGACTGCGAGGGTAAGGGCTACGCAAAGACCTGCCCTTAGAATTATTACAGGCTAACCTATTTTACAATAATTTACCCTCTTTGCATTGGCCATAGGATAGACCTTACAAAAAGTACCAGTTGAGCGAAAACAAGAGTATCGGGTATCGGATGTCGCAAGACCGAGAGTAGAGGCATTGACTGAGTCAGTGAGTGCGCTGTCTTACTTTGTCCTTACACTTACACTTAGTGACTTAGTGAACTTAGTCTGATGCATGTCTGAATCTGACACAAGTATGACAGACTAGATGTAGATCTACATCGAATTAGAATATTTTATAATTGAAATTAGGACGATTGTTAAGATTCCCGCGTTTAATTCCGATGTGCGTTTTTCATACCCTCATCAGGCATATTTCGCTTTGGTCCCTAACCCTAGGTTAGGGTTAGGGTTAGGGTTAGGGCCAGGGCCAGGGTTAGGGTTAGGGTTAAGGCCAGGGTTAGGGTTAGGGTTAAGGTTAGGGACCAAAGCGAAATATGCCTGAGGGTATGAAAAACGCACATCGGAATTAAACGCGGGAATCTTAACAATCGCCGAAATTAGCCCTACTTGTCGTGATCCGTAAAGATCAAGAGCAAAACAGGGTAAGCTTGGGGCTCTTTGGAATTCCCGTCAGGAGGCCTCTATAGTATAGTGATTGCTAAGGACAAAAGTGGCCATGAAGGCTAAGTGAACCAACCCTACCACATTACTTTTTTGCAGCCTTTTTTGGTAGGCCACCTCTATTCTCACCCGGAGTGAGAATAGTGCAGGCGAGTCTTGTGGCTATTCTCACCCGGTGCGCGTTCACCA